AGACGACATGATAAACCCCAAAACCAGGACGTGACGTGGAAGAGCCCAGACGCAACAGGACAAATGCTGTGTGATCCAATGTATAGGACATGTCTGGAACAGGTGAATCGTGGAGACAGAGAACAGGCTGCTTCAGTTCCTAGGCGGCTTCCCTGGGGGCTGTTGCAACGGCTTAGAACCAGACAGAGGTGATGGCAGCATGATACCGAACATGCCAAACGCCACTGACCTGTGCACTTTAAAATGATCATGTTTGAGAATTTCACTTTTGAAAAATGCCAAAGTAGAATTTAGGGGGAAACAAACAAACAAAAACCGCAAACCTAACCACTGAGGGCCGTCTGGAGCTGCCTGGCTGCCAGCTGCAGTCACCAACGTGTGCCAGTGCCCCGAAGCTTCAGATCCACCCCAGGGCCGGGACTAGAGACCTAAAGGTGCAGTACCAGGCTGGCCCTGGCAATGTCTGCCCACCCCCGCTGGGGTCTGGCCCCCTCGGGATGCCTGCGCCACCATCATGAGACCTACCCACTGCCTGCTGAAGCCTGGGACAGCCGGCAGTCTCGAGGACTAGGCCCTACAGTTGGACTATCCCCAAATCCTGGTTCCCCCAACCACGTGAGAACCCTGATCGCCCCTTGAAATCAACGCTCTCCCCCTTCAAAACCCAGGTCCCACGGCACCTCTTCCTGGAACCCTTCTCTCACCAGCCTTCGCGATCTGCCTACAGTGGCTGGGATGAGCCCTTGATCCTCCTTGGAGCCCCCACTTCCTTGTCTGGAGTGCGTTAGATATGAGCCTACTTCCCTGTTAGTCTACACACTCCCTGGGGCCAAGACAGTGTCGCGATGACTCAATCAACCATTTTTAATGAGCACCTACTATGTACCCCATGCTGCTCAGAACACAGCAGTTAACAGGAAGAGAAGGAGAGGACCACTGTCTAACAAAGCTAGGCCTATATTAATTCAAATAATGAGGCCACCATTGGGGTGACGAGACAGATCAGCAATTGGCAAAATTTATCTTTTTGGTGAAATAGGGTCTCACTCTGTCGCCCAGGCTGGAGTGCAGTGGCGTGATCATGGCTCATGCAGCCTAAACCTCGTGGGCTCAGGCATTCCTGCCTCAGACTCCTGAGTAGCTGTGACCACAAGCATGCACCACCACACCTGGCTAATGTTTTAAATTATTTGTAGAGATGGGGTCTCACTCTGTTGCCACACTGGACTCAAACTTCTGGGCTCAAGTGATCCTCCAGTCTCAGCCTCCCAAAGTGCCGAGATTACAGGCATGAGCCACCGTGCCCGGCCCAAAGCTTTTCTTTAAAGGCCTAAATAGCAAATATTTTTGACTTTGCAGGCCACACAGGTCTCTGTTGTGATGAGTTAACTCTGCCAATGTGGCACAAAAGCAGTCATACAGACACATGTGTATAGAGATACACAGACAAGTCGTCGTAGCTGTGCCAATAAAACTTTATTTACAAAAACCAGCAACAGCTAGAATTGGCTAGATTGGCTGAACCCAGAATAAAGGAGGGTTGGGGTGCATGTTCCTGTACAAAGCTGAGGTGGCCCCTTGGTGTCAGGGACATCAGAGCAGAGACCTGAATGATACCAGGGAGTGAATCACAAAGAGCTGGAAAAAGGCAGATTATCAAGGAATTGTATGTTAACTCATATTCAAAACAAAATTATAAAAGGAACGTTATAAATATTTACATCAGATTTTTCTCATGTTTTGTGTGGTTTCAACAGTGACAATGTGGATTTATTTTTAATCTCGAGGTCTTTCTTCCTCTTCTACAAGCTGTCCATTTTACAGGCAAGGAAACCGAGACTCCAGAGATGAAGGTTCCGGGGCCACACGGCTGGTGAGGAGCAGTCAGGAGGCCGGGGCTATTTCCGCGCATCACAGATAAGGAAAGGGAAGCACCGAGAAGGGACTGCTCACCCACACTGCTGGGTGTTGGGAAAAACAGGATCTGAACCTGGACGACCTGGCTGGAAATCCTGAACTCTAGCCTGGCATGCCCGCGCTGCCTAATGCGGCAGTCTGTGTGGCTATGGAAAGGGACATTGAATGTGTATATTAAACAAAATTTACAAATCCATTCCTCAGTTGCAGCAGGCACATTTCCAATGCTCAACAGTGGAACGTGGCTATCCTGCAGATACAATGTCTCCATCATGGCAGAAAGTTCTGTGGATGGTGCTCCTGTCCAATAAAGGTAAAGGGCATAAAAACCAGCGAGCACCTGGGAACTTGGAAAGGGCTTTGCTTAGCGCAGGTCGTGACAGCACCGTCACTGCTGCTAGAATGGAGGCTCACAGCCAACACTGCCCACCCCTGCCCATTCACACCTGCTTCTTCTTCAGCTTAGAGATCTGCTGCTCCACCATGGTGATCTCTCGGTCCACGCGGTCCATGTTCTGGATCAGCTCCTCCTTGGACAGCCGCGGAGGCACCAGCTCCAGCTCAGGGTCGGCGTGTGGGGGGCTGGGGGGAGACACCGGTTCCAGTTTGCCAGTCAGGCTGCGGTCCTGTGGCAGAGAAAAAACGGGCAAGGAGTCAGCACAGGGGACACCCCTGGTCCGTAATGCCCTGTGATGTTTAATGCAGAGTGTCAACTTGATTGGATTGAAGGATGCAAAGTACTGATCCTGGGTGTGTCTGTGAGGGTGCTGCCAAAGGAGATTAACATTTGAGTCTGTGGGCTGGGGAGGCGGACCCACCCTTAATCTGGGTGGACACCATCTAATCAGCTGCCAGCAAATACAAAGCAGGCAGAAGAACGTGAAAGGACTAGACTGGCCTAGCCTCCAAGCCTACACCTTTCTCCCCTGCTGGGTGCTTCCCGACCTTGAACATCGGACTCCAAGTCTTCAGCTTTGGGACTCAGACTGGCTTCCCTGCTCCTCAGCCTGCAGATGGCCTCTTGTGGGACCTTGTGATCGTGTGAATAAATACTCTTTAATAAACTCTCGTGTGTGTGTGTGTGTGTGTGTGTGTGTGTGTGTGAGTTCTGCCCCTCTAGAGAACCACTCTGTGTGTGTGTGTGTGTTAGTACTGCACCTCTAGAGAACCACTGTGTGTGTGTGAGTTCCGCCCCACTAGAGAACCACTCTTTGTGTGTGTGCGTGTGTAAGTGTCAGTTCTGCCCCTCTAGAGAACCACTCGTGTGTGTGTGTGTGTGTTAGTTCCGCCCCTCTAGAGAACCACTCGTGTGTGTGTGTGTGTGTGTG